GTTGTAACATAACAGTACCACCAATTGTAATCACGGCTGTGAGAAACGTAACCAGAGACCAAAAATACCTGATTAAACTTATGATGCAGATTCACATTTTGAGTCGCACACCAACGTAATTTTAATAGAACCTCCCCCCTCCCCACACACCCTCACACACTCTCTGATTTAGCAACTCCATCCCGGTACTCAATTCCCCACGTCCACTCACAGACTGACCACCCTACCACAATATGCCGAAGGCAAGGGAAGTTGTCTCACTAATAAGGCAATCCCCAACGTCCGGATCGGATGCGGGAAGAACTTTTTTTATTTTAACTCTAAGCATTGTCAGTCCTGTTGTCATTTCTACAGGATTTTGACTTAGTTGTGCATCATGGGATATTTGCTCATTTTGCTAGACATCATGGAATCATTAAAAGCAACAGCAAACAAGATTGGATGGACAGATGGGCTTTGGGAAAGATAGGCAGAACAGTTTTCACATATAATATAATGTGACTACAACAAAACGAAATGACAATGTCAACCGCCTACAGAGAAAGAAACAGACCACGATCTTCCGCCTACGAACAGAACATATACAGCTCAACTTTCACTTGAACAGAATAAAACCAGAACTTCCCCCCAATGTGTCCTTTGTGTGACTATGCATATGAGACAGCGCTCAACCCCGATTAAAGTACACAGGCTCTGAGCGCTTTAAAATACAATACAACGTACAACAGTAGCATAAAACATTTTGTTCTAACTAAAAGAAAATCACTCCAAATATTCATCTTATTAATTTAAAAACAGAAACGACTTCAGCTGACATTTGGATAAAGCAAAAGATTTGATCTCTCTTAAAATACTAGATTAAGCATTCAGGATAATTAAAAAAACATTTGGTTCTTGGGCCTTGACTAATGATCACTCGTTGTATAATCTCCAGATACCTCTGCTTCCGCACCGCGCAGATTGTTCTTTGCGTGCTGGGCCTTGTCGGAAACTGCGGAGTCATCCTCGCCTGGACAGCCAGCAGACGTCGAACTCCGATCGTGGTCCTAATGACGTCACTCGCCCTCTGGGACCTGGGCCTGCTCACTTCCTTCCTCTATTACTGTGTACGTAACTTCCGGTGGTGGCATTCCCGAGCCAATGCTCGCGACTACCCTTGGAGCGGCTCCCTCTACAACATGGGGTATGACCCGCCGATGTACCTGGCTATCCTGGCCTTTAATTGTTTCGTGTGCACGTCCGTGTTCACAGTTCTGGTCATCTCCTTCGTGCGCTACATCGCCGTAGTGAGGCCTCTGATGGTACGACGTGTGTGCTCTCGCAAACGAATGAAGTACCTGATTACGGGAATAATCGCTCTGGCGATGTTCCTTTCGTTTTGTTTCTGTCTAAAATTTATGTGCCTTTCTTTCCACGAGATAACGGGCAGTCGCTTCTGCCATTTTGTTACGAATCACAAAAGAGCATTCACCTACCCGGATTTTATCATCATCGGGATATTGCCGTGGGTAGGTACAATTCCACTGAGCGCGTTGCTCGTAGTTCACGTGACCAGAATTCCCAAAACTCGTAGCATTCGACGAGGGTCTTGTCCCGCCTCCGTGGAGTACGGACCCAGACGAGTGACGCTCTACGTCATAGTTATGGTGGTTCTTTCGACTGTGACGTACCCTGTTTGTCTCAACATCTTCCTCGCCATGCAGGAATCGCCCAACTGGACTCAAGAGACTAAGGAAAAGCTCTACCTGACCAGTGATTTTCTCTTCATCATTAATTCCATCGCTCATATTTTCCTTTTCTGCGCCGGTGGACAGTTCTTCAGAAGCTTGATGTATGCTCGGATTAGTTACTTATGTACTTGCTTCTGCGGTTGTGTCCCCGTTGTTCATCAGATCGTGAACCGACACGAAGACGATATCGTTGTGGTGGACGATATCAGATTCAACGTCAGCTCCACGAGAGACGCCATTGACATTGAGCAGCGATTGTCTCTTCCAGAAAGACACGGGCTTGAGGTCACTCGGCTGTGACACGACTTTTGAATTGTCATTTTATGTGTTGAGATTGAAGCGAGTGTGTGATTGTGTGTGTATGTGTGTGTGTGTGTGTGTGTGTGTGTACGTGTGTGTATGTGTGTGTGTGCGTGCGCGCTCGCGGAGGTGTTCGTTAGTGTGTGA